GTAATTAATTGAGTCTCTCTGTTAACAGGAAGAAGGTCAAGTGCACATAACTATTGTGATTACACAGTCTGCATTACAAGCAGCTGAGTCATTTAACCTGAAAGTGGTTAGATTGTAAGGCTGAGAAACAATTAAATGAGATTTTACTTCAAAGTAGTAGCTATACTTCCAAGTTACTGTACTATTTAGAATTTTTTTTCAAAGCGACTTGTCATGTTATTTTGCAGTACCAATTAGTTTTATTGATGCGAAACATTTTATTTAGAGTTTTTGGTCATCCTATTTTAATTTTTAATTTTTTTTTCTTGCCTTACTTTAGCTAATTGGCTGAAATTTTAAAATCATAATTTCTAATGGAGATTTATTTGAATTTATATTTTTTTACTTTGTCTTGTATATAATTCTGCAAGTTTGCCAGATACACAGTTTTGATTGTTGGATCCAAAGTGTAGAAAGGCTTCCCTAATTTTGTCATGTAGGAATTATACATCTAGTTTACACTGGGGAGAGTCTGTAATGATTTCTTGGTGAAGATCAAATTATTTGCAAAAACCTTTTAAAATCTATGAAAATCTGATACTCCTGATGTCTCATCTAACAATGAGGTTGCAACTATATAGCATGCTGTAGATATACCAGGGAAAATTCAGTTGCTTTGAAAATACACAGATTTTTATTAATTTTCTTACAACTCCATCTTAGTGTAGGAGATTGGTGCAAGATAGTGTCTGGTACCAGGAGATACAGTATGGATGTTTATTTACCATGGAAACTACTTTTTTGCTTTAGGGAGGTACTTCTTGCATTGTTTGAAAACTCAAGACTAAATCAGGCTCTAGAGAGAAGGTAAGGAATGGAAGCCTATTAGAAAGGAACAAGCATAGTTATGCAAGAATCATAGAATCATGAAGGTTGGAAAAGATCTCCAAGATCGAGTCCAGCCTTAGACTGAACACCTTACCGACTAAACCATAGCAATAAGTGCCACATCCAGCTGTTTCTTGAACACTTCTAAGAATTGAAGAGACTGAGAGAATTGTTTATTTGTTCTAATTATTGCATGGTTGTACGGCAAAGTTTATGACTCTTTTTCTGAGGCTTTATGCAGGTGTTATATTCAGATTTTTACTTTTGTTTAGAGATTGCTCAGAATTCACCATAAAGTTTCAAGGAAGCATTGTTCTAGGTTATACATGAACAGTTTAAAATGTAAGAAAAATAAAACACTACCTTTCCAACAATGCATGCTTGCAATCTGTAATTTATTATAAGACACTACATTCAGTAAAAACAAAATAGTTGTTTGGCAGTGAGTGATTTTGCTTTTTAACAGAAGTTTGACTAAGAACCATTAAAGCAATATGGAGTTAAATTAAGAATTGCAGTATGTTATTAGACCATAGGTGTGGATCAAAGTCAATACAGAATAAGACAAATGTACAGGTTTTTGTGGCAGGTTGCTTATGCTGAGTTGCTAAAATCACATCTGGAAAACCACAAACAAATACATACCAAATGTCTATTTTTTTTCCCTTGGTAAATTGTCTATCTTAAAACTCTGAATCTGGATTTTGATGTCAAAACTCATGTCTTTGTGCATGCGCCTGCAATTTCTGCATCACACTGTGCATAAACTGAAAGTCTGGAACAAATTAGAAATTGTTGCTAAGGCAGAGTGAATTGTCCCATTGTCAGAAGGTATTTCAAATAGAGATGTTGCTCTTTGTTCTGTTATTTGCAGCCAGCCATCAGGTGATCTGTAGTTGAAGTTTAAATAATTGTTTTGACACGTAAAATCAAAAATATTTATCAGTCTTGGATGATACACAGGCTGTTGTTTTCTTTTTATATTATTCAGTGAGCTTTCCCCTGAGGTGCTCGATCAGAGAATGCTGTTGTTTAAAGAGAAATTGGTAACACTGAGTTAGCATCAAACTTGATGGCTTGAGGGCCAAACTGCTAGACTTGTTCGTTTTCTACTTTTCTTCATGAAAAAAGGAAAAGAGATTATAAGTGGAGGAGAATTCAATCTGTGTTTAAGAAATGCATTTACTTTCCGGAGATGTATATCCTACTGCATTCCTGATGTGCTGCTAAAGGCTACTTGTGCATTAATATTTGCAATGTGCTTGAGATTTTTCATAGTAATGATAATTAGTAGTTTCTACTTGTGCTGCTGACCCTAATTCATGCCTGGTCAAAAATGATTATATGCAGATGAGAAAATATTTTTACTGAGAAAAATCTAAGCTCAAGTTTTTGAGAGGTTCATTTAGAAAATGGTCAATGTTGACTGCTTGTGAAACATCAGATATGGATCTGACTGGTAAATGTATAGATGGTTTTATTTCATATAGAATCATATTAATGATATACATATCTTCTGAATGCCATTTTTTTGAGACAAGGTATATTTGTTGTGTGTAGGGAATCTTGTCTCTTCCCACACAATATCAATTGAAAGGGTCATGACTGAATGTGACCTTTCATACAAGGACAGTGAAAAAATGCAGTGTAACATTTTCTGTGTCCTATTTTGAATTACTCCTGTTTTCAAAGGTTATTGCTTGTTACCTTACCCATATATCAGTGACAGAGAAGTATTAAACAATTACTAGTTGCAATATTTGGACCTTTTTTTCCTCTTTTATTGTTTAATTTGTTCAATGAAATCCCAGTGTTATGCTAAACACTGTTCAGGAAGGCATCAATATCCATCGCTTCAGAACCAGTTTCTCTTACCTCCTGTTCACACACTGGCTCTTGAACAAAACATCCTGCTCACCTCTTGAAAATCCCATAGGCACCCTTAGAACAAGTACCCATACCTCAAATTTAGAGTGATGTTTATTCAAGGTCATTAGAATTTTTTGCACAGGAAAGGAAACTTAAGAGAGGTCGATAATTGCATTACTATACATACATACATATATATATATATGTACTAATCAAGTGGAAATGCTTACTTGGGAAGTTTTAAAGAACCTTTGAAAGTAAGGTGTTAAACCAGCACAGAATTTTGAAAGAGCAAACATAAAATTTGTTTTCATTCAATCTTTAAGAAATGTACAGTTCATCACATACATTATGTATTACCATTTCCACTGCTTAAATTTTACATGAAAATACTACTGCTTGAGCTTAAATGAATTAAAAATTAAGTCAATTATCAGTAAAGTAACTTTTAAAAAATTAATTTATAACAGCTTGTAGTAAAGGTGTGTTGTCTTTTCTTAGACTGTGCTCTGATTGACAATAAGGTGTGGTTAATGTTCAAATGACTGCTCATTGAATCCTGCTAGGGAGCAGCATCAGAAAGTGCTATTGATACTCCATACGTTTCAATCATATGAGCATTTTAAACTTGATTAATTCCTTCCAAGACTGAAATGTAAAATATTATAAAAATGTGTATTCTCAGCCTGAGAAAGAATATGAAAGGCAAGACTGAACTGGAACACACAACTATTCAGGTAAAATTAATGCTAAATAAAATATTACTGTGAATTATGTAGTGACTTGAAAATTCCAGTGATGACTAGGAAATCAAAGTATGGTCCTTATTCATATTCATTGCTCCCTTCTTCTTGGTGAAAATAAGGTTTCCAGGCTTGGTGAACTGTAAAAGGAAACTATTTGATATTTTGAAATTCAGAATTATACTTGTTGGATTTTATTTCATTACATTGAAAGATAAATTTATTTCAAATGTTTTGGAATACACACATGCAAAAAGCCCCAAGAAACCAAAATAAATTTAAAATGTTTGGAGTACTTTTTTGGCTTAATATTAAAAAAAAACCCAACAACTAAGTCTGAAACCATTTTTATTTTTAGCTTTTGGAACTGGAAGTGAACCTCAAATGCCTTTAGTCATGCAGCAGTATGGGCAAACTTTTCATCCAAACTCATCTCAGCTTTGCTTTTTAAGGAAATGTAATCTTAGTGTGCTACCAGTTGACCAGAGATGAGCTCAAAGAGGATGGTCTGTTGTGAGGATGGCATGGCCAATGGTTTTGGCCATGAAAACTAATATAAATCTCTGTCAATTGCATGTCTAGCAGACTACTTGGATTTCAATAGGCAGAACCCAAGCACCAGCAGAAAATCAAAACAGTTTGTTCCTTCAGTGACTTTTCTGTGTACAAGCTGCAAATAAAAGAATTTCTTTTTAATAAAATGAAAACACTCTTCTAAGTTTGCATAGTTAAATAATTAAAAGTGAAGAATGCAAAGAGGTAAAGTACACAGAAAAGAAAGAAAATTTATGGTGCACGTTTCTACATAAACCTGTCAAAACTACAGTAAATAACATTTTTAATAGTCCTGTCTATTAATATGCATCCAGGAAGTTGGAGTGTTCAGGCTGGACATGCAAGTTCAGCTTTGGTTTCTCCTAGTATTATGTAATATACGATCAGAATCAATAAAAGATGCTTATGGGAAAATAACTGAGTGAAAATATGGTAATGCATTAAGAAGCTTTGGATAAAGCTGAAATTTGCTGAAAATTTTAAAACTTTTTTTTTAAACTTGCACAGTTCCCTAAGCAAGGTTCACCTAAATTAGTGATAGATATTAATATAACATAGAGATATTTTTTTCCCAAAGTGAGTGAATGACATAAATGTTTAAACACAATATGATGAGAAATTCAGGGTTTAATACATAAATCTATTTACAAAGCTACCCACCTCATTGATAGTGGGATGTTCTACTTTTAATATGGTGGAGTATATTTTTCATGATAAAAGGTGTGCTGATTATTGTGGTGTTTGTAGGCAGGTCATTTTTCAGCATCTGCTTTTCAATGATGGTTTGCAATGAGAATGATTAGAGTAGCTTCACTTCAGCATGGAACATAATGATTGATGCTATATCAAGGAGAACATGGAATCTCCTAATGACTTTCATAGTGTCTATTTCTTTGTGGAATTTCTTTTTGTTGTCTTAAAACAATGCGAACGTTACTGATGGTATAACCTTATTCCCTGTGTCAGGTCTCCTAGAAATCCTGAACAGAAGATCATTAAACGAGTGATTGCACTTGAAGGAGACATTATCAAGTAAGTATTTTAAGCCTTAGTCTCCGAGTCTTTATGGGAAGAGTACAGCTTTCAGTGTATTTTAAATCAGTATCCTAGACGACAAGAACTTTCTAGCATTTTCTTTTTACCTATTCTTAACAAGGATGTCAGCATTGTACCTGTCTCCCTTTTAATGAGAGGAGAAATGCTACACAAAACTACTCACTCTCTCCTGAAAGGTACATGGGTGCAAATAATGCTTATTTCTGAGAATATCTCTGCCACAAATCAAGGCTGGTAATTGTACAGCGTTTTTCAATAGGATTATAGGCCTGTGATTTTTCATTTACAAACTCCAGCTACTGCTTCACACTGAGATGGGCAAATAAAGGTAGAGTGGTTTTTTGGTTTTATTTATTTATTTATGTATTTGTTTCAGGGGTTTTTCTGTTTGGTTGAATTTACATTTTATATTTATTTTATTTTATTTTATTTTTGAGACAAAGAACCCTTGTAGATGACTGTCTTTGCTGCAGTATGTAGGAATCTGTAGGGAATATGTGGAACTGATTTTATGTAAATTATTCTATCAGGAAAAAACCCCACAACATTGTAGCAAGAGTAGACTCTAGAGTACTTCAAGACTTGGTTTACTCTGACAGATAGACCTTCCTATTGGGGCCGGGAGGAAATAAATTACCAGCAGATGTAAATAAAAAGTTTTTGTGAGAACTGTATTATTTTGAAGAAAATGCTTGCTTGAAAAGGTTTCTTTTTCCCAGGTATAGAATAGAGTTGGCATAGAGTTGGGAGGGTAAATCCCTAGTTTCCCATACTAAGCTGTGAATGACCCTGGGAGATCTCAGACAATATGGCACATTGTGACTCAATTAATTTAGATAATGATTCTTGCTCTAGTGTAGTGAACACTTAAGAAGTACTTGACAGCTGCAATTCAAGTCAAGGATTAGAGTTTGGTCTCAGTAAGCCCTAGTTAATAATATGGGCACTGTGGAATTTGTCTATGTTTTTGTTTTTGTTTTCTTGCAGTCAATATTTTTGTTTTATTGAAAAATTCAGAATCATCTCAGTTTGAGAAACCAAAATATGTTGTGAGAAACCAAAATATGTTGTTACCTCTTTGTTGGAGCAAAATATGTTAAATAGCAGGCACTAAGAAGATAATTTGATGTCCAAAAACTATAGACATTTACAGCTAAAACTAGCTATCACTTAAAGAACTAAAACATACGACTAGTGTGTATGCTACTATGTGATGTCTTTTATTGACCTGTGTCCTTAAGAAGGTACTTATTCCTTGGTGCAGTTGATATTAGTGCTGTAATTCATGTAAGTGATAAGAATGGTATTCCTGAATCAGTATTCCTCATTCATTGCTGTAGCAAAGTCAGAAAGAAATAGCAACATAAGCCAACTTCAAGTGTTACTTTGCACTGTTCTGTATTATTAACATATTTACCTTCATTTTTGAAACTGAATTTTGATTTTGATAAAAAAGGTCATTTAATAACACAAATTGCAGCTGTAGGAAATTAACTATGCTGTACATTTAAACTCCTTAAGACTCTGAACTTTTCGTTAACTTCAGCCGACGTTCTTGGCCAAATGGACAAAGGCTTGGGACATAATGGCTGTGAGAGTTTATGCAGAATACTGAAGGTAACTGCAGGTTACTGAATCACTCATGGACACAGAAGACTGTACGCTGATCCTCATTTGTCTGTGGTAATACATGTTAGGTGAATTTTTTGAAAGAAATACTTATCTCAGTAATTAAGATGTGCATTTTTTAATTTGAACACATGAAAACTGTCCCAGACCTTTTTGCTATAACTGTATGTCTGGGATAGAGTTAATTTTCTTCCTAGTAGCTGGTACAGTGCTGTGTTTTTTGGCTTTACAATAAGAATAATGTTGGTAACACAGTGATGTTTTAGTTGTTGTTGAGAAGTGCTTACCCTAAGTCAAGGACTTTCCAGTTTCCCATGCTTTGCCAGTGAGGAGGTGCACAACAATCCATGAAGGAGCATGGCCAGGACAGCTGACTCAAACTGGCCAAAGGGATATTCCATCCATAGATCATACTCAGTGTGTAAACTGCAGGAGCTGGCTGGGCAGCACTGATCACTGCTTGGCAATGGACAGTGAGCAGTTGTATTGTGCATCACTTGCCTTTCTTGAGTTTTATTTCTCTCTCTCCCTCCATTTAATGATGATGATCATCGTGATAATAAAAATAATAATTTTATTAATTGTTGCTGTTACTGGTGTTATATTTTATTTTGTTTCCATTATTAAACTGTTCTTTCTCAACCCATGAGGTTTACCTTTTCTTTCCAATTCTCCCCCACACTGGAGGTGGAAAGGGGCTGGACCGAGCAAGTGGTTGTGTGGCATTTAGTTGTCAGTTGCAGTTAAATCATGATAAACAGTATTGTCATGGGTTAAGATAAGAACAATGATAGGCAATATGGTCTGTGATTCTGTCGTTATGTTTTCATAGCTGAATGAATTATCTTTACTTGATCTACTTGGAGCATGACTAGGGATAATATGTCACAAGAAGGCTGTGTTTTTTCATGTTATCAGTTAGGGTAAGTTAGTTAAAATTTTAGTATTTGTTAATTACTGAAAGTAATGAAAGATCAAATAGGTAGAGCCATTAATGCCATAGGAAAGGATCCTTATATTTTGATTTCAGTTCTGGTGCTATGACTCCATGGCAGAAAAATCCTGTTTTTCAAATTTCTAAAAACATTTAATAAGATAAAAATTACGATATTTTAAAAATAATAATGACTGACTTCTAGTTTTTGAAAAGGAGTGTAGGTGAAAGATCTGTAATAGGTCCATTTTGACCTTTCATTTTTTGTTTTTCAGGTAGCCACACATTATGGACTACATAGTACTTTTCCTTTTGAAATATGCTTTGAAGTTTGAAAAAGGCTACAAAGTCACTGAAATAAAAATTTCCATTTTCTGTTCTTCTTTCCAGCCTAATTGCTAGTGCAGGTGAAGTGAGTTTGGTAGTGTCTTGTATATCCCCAAGCATAGTACATGCCATGAACCTATAACAGATAATTTAATTTAGATAAGCTATTAGAACTTCCTCTTCAGAAGAATTTAAAGAGCAGTTAGAAAATTACCATTTAGCCCTTGAGAATGAGTCTATAGGTTAGCTTGTATATAGACAATATTGCAAAATGTAGCTCCCATAGATCAGGATTTGTTTTATCTTCCGTGGATTCACAAGAGAATTAACTTGAAGTGGGAAATCATTACAATGGTTCCTGAAGACTGTTTAAATGTTAACTCTTCCAAAGGAGGCCTTATTTTAAAAGTCAATATAATCTAATTTGTTAAAAATTAAAACCACTTGGAGTAACTTGAAATTAAACTTATTAAAACTCATTTATCTTAAATTCATTGGTGGAAATTAAAAAATCTATAGTTATCTATCACAGATGAGTTATGTTTTCAGTAACACAAATAAATGAAGCTTTATGCAAAGGAAATCAAAATTCGGATTAAGCGAGTAACATTTGAAATTAAGTCTGCTCGGAACCTTGCTGAACTAATTTGTTTTCCTCCTGTCTGTCACAGTTGCACAGGTCTGTAGGAGCTTGGTGTACCAGTTATGTTTCTTTCATCTAACTGTTTGCTTCTTAACGCTGTACCTGGGCTAAGAATGATTTGTAAGTTTGTAGGAAGAGTAACCTTTTAAAAAGTTTGGTCCAGGGATATTGTTAGGGTATTTAGGAGTTAGTGTTCTGAACTGAATGGTTCAGCAAAATGCTGTTGTGTTTAAATGTTGCATCTTGCAAAATTCTGAAGATGAGAATAAGGAAATACTCCTTGTTTCTCAAAGTATGGCAATGCAGACACAGATCATACAGAAACAATTTCATGTTCACTAGTGCTGTAGTACAAGTCTTTTTGTTCCCTCTTTTCCCACTGCACATAGATCTTTGGTAACCATTATTCTGAGGTACTGGTGTTGTTGTTAGGTACTGCTTGCAATGGCTCAAAGTTAGAATAGGAAATATGGAATAGGAATAGGAAAATAGATTATCAGTAAAACACATTAAAAGAGTAGGAATCACAGTTGATGTTGATACGAAGGGTATGTTTATGGCTGTGTCCTATTCTCTTCTTCTGCAAAGTCCACTCTCTGGGTTATGAATAAAATAAATAAAAAAAATTTAAAAAAAAAAAAAAAAGTAAAAATCTGTGAGTGGTCAGATCCACATTGACAGGAGTGATAGTGGAATCAACAGAAATGAGAACAGATTGTACTCTGTAGAGATTAAAAATTTTGGAACATTTTTCATTTTAACTGACAAATTGTATTCTTCATATTGTTCTGTCTCTGTACTTTATGTATTTAAAGGATGTAGCTGCAGTCAAATTACCCTAGATGAAAAACTCTTTGTCTTCCAAAATATTCTTATTTTTTGTCCATGTGCACAGAATACTCATAGGTATGATGCAGTTTATTTTGCACTGCTTACTGTTAGGTACTGATGGAATTTTTTTAGCCAATTAAAGCTTTTTCTTTTAGGTTCCAGCTATACTACTCTGTCATGACCCTTTAGAATTGATCATATCCTTGCAAGTCTCCTAAATAGAGTTTCCATTGATTTTGATTCCATTTCCACATGCAGAGTCATTGCCTGACTGAGCTCCATTTCTGTAAATGCAAATAATGGGAATGTATACTGGTGCAGCATCCATAACCTAGGTAAACAATTTGACAAATGTAGAATGAAGATTTTCTGTATCCATAGTGAATTTCTAAGGTTCTGTAGATCTTTAGGCCCAGTAATGAAGGTCTGAAAAGCTGTATTTCTGAAATTTGGAACTCTTCATACTTATTATAAAATACAGAGGTGGTTGTGGTTTTTTTTGCTTTGCATTAGTTTGGTTGTCTAATATTTGAGGAAGGGGCATGAAGAGACAGAAAGAATAGGAATAGAAAGTTGAATTTCAGGAAAAAAATGCACAATTTTTTTTCCCCA